ATGACGCGTCCGTGAACACATTGAGCGATGGCTCAGGTAGGCGCCAAGGCATTGAACCCCAAAAAACCTGAAGAGGAAGCCGGCGATGCAGCAACTGACACAAAGCCCCTGGAGGCCGAACCCAGCGGTCGCGAGAGAGGCGGAAGGGACGTCCCCGAAGGAACCAGAACAGCCGACGAAGCCACACCCGACCCGGCGGGTAGACCATCATGGCAAAGTTCAGGCTCCCGCACAAACCCTCGAGCAACCGCCGCGTGACCCGGGAGCCCCTCAGAAACAGATGAAGGCGGGAACGCAGGCGAAGCAGAGCCGCCGGAGGAAGAGACAAGGAAGCGGTCCGAGCGTCCCACACAAGACCCAGCCAAGACTGAACCTGAGAGGGAACCAGATGGGACTTCCGCCAGTTCACCAGGAACCCGAACCCGGCGAGCTGGGAAAGAACCAAATCCCTGGCGAGCAGACACGCGGACTGGCTGGGAGCCCAAACCAGCCAGTCGTCGAGGTAGGCCAGAACCCGAACACCTAACAGACGCAGGCGGGCCACCACGACCCGAGTAAGGCGTGTGAAAATGCGAGGCGCCAGATTCAAGCCGAATGGAAGGCAACGAAAGCGGTAACCTTGATGCCCCACAACAAAACCGAGCCAGTCCCTGAACCTCGGATGAATCGGGATGTGCCAATACGCGTCCTTGAGGTCCAGGGACACCATCCAAGCGCCCGGCTCCAACAGAAGACGGACCTGGGACAGAGTAGTCATCCGAAAGGAGGGGCAATAAACCCACGGGTTCAGACGGGACAAGTCCAGAATGAACCGGAGGTCCGCGCAGTCCCGTTTCGGGACCGGAAACAGGCAGGAAACCCACCTGAGAGACGAGGTCGTTTCGACCACGCCCAAGCGAACCCACTCCGAGATGACTCGACAGAGCGCAGGAGAAGAGGCGTGCCCCGCCAGCCCTGAACCCCCTAAAGGAGGAGCCACCCAACGCCACCACAGGCCGCACGAAACGACCTGAAAGGCCCACAAATCGTGGGACCAGATGCAAGCAAACAGAGCGAGCCCCCCCCCCCCCCATTGCCCCGTCAATGGAACAAACCGCGAAAGGGCCAACGCACCTTACGAGAACCTAAACGGCGCACAGGGCGATCCCCGCGCCGACCAGAAAAAGAAGGAACCGAAGGCTGCGCCTGCCCCGAATCTGGCACCACTGGCCTACCACGACAGGAAGAACCCCGAGCCCTGGCACGACCCATCCGGGAAGGCCCCCCACGAGTGTCCCCAGAGGACCAACAAGGCCGACATAGGACGGCAACTAGTCGAAGCCGCCTGCAGATACTGCACAACCGCAGACTCTGCAAACAGCAACGGACAAAAAGGCGAAGACAACCTAAGAGCCAGGGCCCAAGCGGATTCCAAGGAAGAAGCCAGCACTGCCTGCCGACACGCGAGTCGAGAAGCAAAAAACGCGAAACCGCATCCCGCAGGAGCGGCGCGAACAGCTTCAACAATGCAGACGACGCACGCACTGCCGAGGGCAACGCACCAGACCCAGAGGTGGCCCCAAGCTCCTCCACATCCAACTCAAGCCAATCCGAGGACAGCTCGAGGAGGGAGAAGAAACGCAGGGCCGAAGCCAACAGGCCACGTGTACGCAAATCCTCAGCGACCAATGCAGCTGAAAGGGAAGGAACCTGCACATGAAGCTGCATCACACCAACATCCCGCGGAAGGGCAGGGGCGAACAAACATGCATTGAGATGCTCAAATTCGCCCCCCAGGAAAACCTGCAACACCATCTGAGCCTCCCTCCACTCAAGCATGCGGGACCGACAGAACGTGTGCCAAGCCTCCAACGAGAAGAGTGGGCAGTCTGCTAACCAGGACGACTCCGGAACTTCATAACGAACCCAGTAAGGACACGAAGATCCATACACGAAGGAATGCGGATCCATCATGAAAGCATAATCCGGGTCGCGCAGGAGGTAAGACGCAAGGGCTTCCCGCACCACATGAGATGGATACGGGAAGCTGAAAACCTCCGGAAGGACGGAACCGAAGAACCCACGGGATCACGGAACCGAACCCGGGGAGGGGTAGACGCCAAATCCAATTCGTACGAGGAGGGAGCAAAAGAGAACCCCTCTCCTTGTAACACCAAGCCCCGCTCCGAGGGTACAAAAACCCAGGTGGAGTCCAACGGGGCCCAAGGCCCCCGGTCAACCCCTCCCCTCCCACGGAACCTCACCCTGAGGACCTTGGAGCCGAGCCATCCTCCAAACCCCTGCCTCTAAAGAAAAGGCAGCAGCAGCCGAAAAAGCAGGAACGAAGGGGGCCCACTGGTCAGACCCAGAAGCTCCGGCCGGAGGACCAGGCTCGAATGCCTCTGCCGCCACCCCGGAAGGAGACTCACCTTAGACTGCCCGAGTCTCAACACCAACTAAACCCTGTCCTGACTCCGAAATTCTCAGATGCTTCGGAGCCGGAAGCAAGGGGGAGAAGGAACCGAATGGACAACAGAAGGGAAATGTCAAAGGGGAAAGGACGGAACCAGAGCCGAAGCGACTCCCACCCCCAAGTCCGGGTCCCTAAAACCTAAAAGCAGTCTCGGGGCATCTGGGGAAGCAACTAACCTAGCACATTGCAGCAACCTAAACCTAGCATGCAATGCAGCTGCTGCCTGCACCCTCATATCATGATCAGGAGCTTGGGTGAACTAGAGAACGTACAGGCAACAAACATCGCACGACTCAGAGTCAAAAGAATCACTGACTCAACAGGCAGCATAGAGGAGGCACAACCGGTGATTGTCCCACAGAGACAACAGGACAGAGCAACCTTCTGACTTGCACGAAGCAAGAGGTAACTCAAGGGCCACATTCATTGGACCACGGAGCCCCCGTGGGGTTTCCCAGGGCCTTATTAACACGCTAAGGGAAGCCCAGGCAGGGTACTGCAAACCGGCGCCCAAAACTACCAAACAAACTGTTAAACCTGAACCCCTGGGACCTGTCCACTCATGGGGGCCAAGCAGGGGGTACCACCACCAAGAACAAGATACGGGGAGAAGGATATGACCAACACAAGGGGCAACCAACCAAGGCAGACCCCCCACCAGGCAGGAAAACAAAAAACAAAAGAAAAACCCCACAAGAGGACAACGTACCCACGCGGAACAGAGCCGGCCGCTATAAGTGGTGAAAACTAGCTATAAGTGGTGAAAACTAGGGGTGCATTACCCTGCGCCCCTACCAGTGATGAAAACTACCCCTACCCAGAGGCAAACAAGGGCAACAAAAACCCCAGCTGACTCCAAGGGCGGCCAAGTACCGAGCAGTAAAAGACACAGCGGAGGTAGATCCCAAGGTGACTTGTGGAAGGTGGCCCCAAGCCCCAAGGGCAGTACTTACAGGGCACCTAGGGAAGGAAACCCTAGGCGCATGCAGCCCGAGTACTGTAGAATATTACTCCTGGCTCACACACCACCTGTAGAGACAGACCACGCCACAAGGCACAGAAACTGAGACAAATTGCTGGAGCCAGAGGCACAAGACCTTGCCAGTATCACATCAGCCAAGAACTGAAGGGTGGATCGCCGGTGTGGGGATCTGGGGCTCCCCCTTCCCCCTCCAGGGGAGGGGAGGGATGTTGCGCAGACAGCGCCGCAGCGACATGATGACGTCATGCTCGTTTGCTAATTTTCATTTGGGGAGTTCTGTCCACTCGTTCGGCTTTCGGTAGCAATATTTTCACCAGAATAGGGGTTTGTTTTGGGGTGCCTACCTTTCTGGGTGCCAGACCCGGTCGATGGCAGACATAGAATGCTCCCAACCACATTGCTCCTTGCCTTTCTTGAAGGGGGGGTTTCTATAGGCCATTGCTCCTCGTGCCTCTCTGAAGGGGGCCAGGTTCTGGCTCATGGTCCCCGGGAGGCAAGAACTCCATGCACATTGACTGATGCCAGAAAGGTAATACATATCCATATCAGCCTGGATAGCTCCGGGGAGCCGAAGGGGCTTTATGATTGTTTTAACTGCTGATTTTTGTTTAGTAATTATGGGTAGGAGGTAATTAAGGGTGGTAGATCCCCCCAAGCACAGCTACCATAGGTGAGATATGAATAAATAAGTGAATAATACAGAGTAACTAGGGCAGGGCAAGAAACATAGTATCTGACTTTGGAGAGAATTCCTATTGTTTTAGAAACTTTTTTTAGTTATACTGTATAGTGTACTGTATATTGTATATGGCAATGGAAATTTAGTTTGTTATCAATGTGAACACCAAGGAACTTTCCTTCTACTCTTCTTGTAATTTATGTACTATTAATTCTTAGATGAATTAGATTGTTTGACTTATTACCAAACAATATATAAAACATCTTGACGATGTTAAGGGTAAGTTTGTTAGCAGTCAACCACAAATGGAATTGATTTAGTTCCGTATTCACCATGTCATTTAGAATAAGAGGGTTACCATTTGAGAAAATGAAGGTTGTATCATAAGCAAACAGAATTGGCTTCAAATGTTGAGTGGTATTTGGAAGAGCATTGATATATATGAGAAAGAGGAGTGGACCAAGTATACTACCCTGCGGAATGCCAATGTTAATTGGGAGAATGGAAAAGTAACCTCGTTCACTGAAACATACTGCTGCCTGTCACTGAGGTAAGATTGCAAGTATTGAAGGGAGTGACCTCTGACTCCATAGTGTTGGAGTTTGAGAAGGTTATTGTGGTTAACAGTGTCAAAAGCCTTATGCAGGTCAACAGACCAATGGGAAATTCTGTTTTGTCAAAAGCTTCACGTATTAGGTTAAGCATATTTATAAGAGCATTGTTGGTGCTTTTATGGGGCCTAAAGCCATATTGGTTTCAACTAAGTATATTATGATTATCATAGAAATGAATAGAGCTGTTTATACATGAGTTTTTCAAAAATTTTGGACAAGATGGGCAGGTGTATATTTCTTAGTGGTGTATAAAAGGATGATGATATGCAAATATAGAATAATAGGAACAGAGTTCTAATCTTTGTTACATCTTACTTGAAAAAATGTGCATTTAATTTCTACAAAAGCATAAGAGACTAAAATTAAACTTAGATATTACATTCTGAAGAGCTTTGTTACAAAAAAAAAAAAAATTGGCTAGTGGCCAAGTAAATTTCTTATACAAACTTATGAAAACAAAAATACCTTACATTTTTATTTATTTATATACAAAAGTTCTTACATTCTTGTAAAGTCATTAGATTAATTAAGATTAAGGATCTGGAGATTAATTAAGATTAAGGATTAAGGATCAAAATTAAGATTAAGGATCTGCCCGAAATGCATAGCATTTCGGGCAGATCCTTAATCTTAATTTTTCCCGGAATATGAACTGCCAAATCATTTCAGAATCAGGTACCCATTCACTGCTGGATGAACAGAGGAGTACAGTTAAGGATTGTCACCTAGTCAATCCTCCCCATCCTGTATACGAACTCAGGCCAAATCACTTGCAAAGTGTGGGACGAGTGTATTACCACTACACCACGGAGACCTTTATGGGAAGTTCATCTAGGAATGTAATGGAACAATATTTTTAAAATGAAGCTGACAATTTTTAAATAATACGTTAAATCTGTGGATAGTTTATATCTTTACATGCATTTCATACAATAATAAAAAATGATACTCATACAATTCATCAAACTGATACACGATATGGTGTCATAAAGTTCATTTGTTTACTGAGGCTTCCTTTAGTCAAGACAACCTGAAGTTTATTGCTTTAATGCACTAATATGTGTCTTCTTATACTTTTTCTTTTTTTTCCTACAACTAGGACACACAGGAGGCCTGTCACTTATAGGCTGTATTACAACCTGTGCTTCTTCATATCAACATTTTAACTATTTACCCCTTACACTCTAGACATTAATTACATTTGCCATTTGTATGAACTGACATGTGACGTCTCAAATTAATACGGTGCCTATATCTTTTCCCACACTTTGAACATTCATGAGGTTTATCATCAGTATGTACTAACATGTGAATTATTATAGCCCTACGTTCTCTGAATTTTCTCCCACAATCAGCACACTCAAATGGTTTAACACCCGTATGCAATGTCCTGTGAGCATTCATATGCCCAAGACGAGTGAACCCCTTCCCACACTCAGGACACTTATAAGGTCTCTCACCAGTATGCACAATCCTGTGCCTATTCATCGTTCCAACTACACTGAATGTTTTCCCACACTCAGGACACTTGTGAGGTTTATCACCCGTGTGCAAAATCAAGTGCTTTTTCAAAGTTCCATGTTCAATGAATGTTTTCCCACATTTGGGACATTTGTGAGGTTTAGCTCCAGTATGAAGAATCATGTGCCTCTTCATATATCCAAGACGAGTGAACCCTTTCCCACACTCGGGACACTCATGAGGTTTATCACCTGTATGCACCATTTTGTGCCTCTCTAAAGTTCCACGTTCACTGAATGCTTTCCCACACTCTGGACATTTGTAAGGTTTATTGCTCATATGAACAATTCTGTGCCTCTTCAGAGTTCCACGTTCACTGAATGTTTTCCCACATTCTGGGCATTTGTGAGGTTTAACACCAGTATGCACAATTCTGTGAGTCTTCATATGTCCAAGTTGACTAAATGCTTTTCCACACTCGGGGCACTTGTAAGGCTTAACACCCATATGTACCATCATATGCCTCTTCATAGTTCCAAGTTCACTGAATGCTTTCCCACACTCAGGACACTCATGAGGTTTCTCACCTGTATGCACCATCATGTGAGTCGTCACATGCCCAATGCGACTAAATGTTTTCCCACACTCAGAACACTGGTGGGGTTTTGCCATTTTTATTACTTTTGCACTTTATATTTAAGTTATCGCCTCCCGATGACTGAAGTTGCTTTGTGATATGTGTTGTCTCTCAGAAACCAACTGCTAGGTTGGTTAATCAGGCCCTGGTGTTGTTGGTGGTCATGGTTTTAAGGTTATAACTACACTAAGCATATAAACTTCTCAATACTGATATCAAGAATATTGCTATTGCTGTACAGTATTTGGACTGAGGTGGCTACAGGACAGGATGTACCCCATTTTTCCAGGTGCAGGTGAATAATCTATGTAGGGCACCCTACAGATGCAAGCTGCTCGGTCTATAAACTCTGATGTATGGTCTGCAGGAAGTGATAGGACAGTCATGGGACAGCATAATGATACTCCTCATGCGGTCTATGGCTGTTGAATTGAAAGTAAAGTGTAAGGCAGATGTTTAAATCCAAAACCAGTCACAAAAAAAAATTGTCTTGGCAGCTTGAAACTGCAGAGAAACAGAAAATGGTCCACGGCCTCCTTCTGACTCCATCACTTCCATTATGGGAAGTCCAAAAGTTACAGGCAGTGGAGATGGACCACCATGCTCATATGTCCAATCTGCATTCGTCATGCGAGCATTAAGACGGTGGTTCCGATTCCTCGCACATCGGTCTGGAGAGGCACTGTCACTAATTACTGCTAGACGAGTGGGTTACTTGTGAGACATAACCTCCTTTCACCTAAGTCCATACCCACCAGACGGAGCACTAAGAAAGTTTCACAAAGTAATTCCAGTAGGAACGCCTCAAACGGGCTTGAGGTATGGGCCAAGGATGCAGCAGCTACAACGCCGTTTTTCAAAACTACACCCGAGGATTGGGGGTATCCACAGCAGGGAGGAGAGCCAAGCATATTGATATGGGCCTTTTGCGTGAAGGTTAGGTGAACGGTGTTGATGTTGTTGGACGCTCACGGTACTGTGCTAATACTAACATTTTCTTTGACATACGATACTTGGGGTAGACTATGGTAGATATAAATATATTTTGGTTTGATTATTTTTTTATTTTTTATATACAAGAAGATATAATGAGAACTAATTTATTAAACCAAAAGTACTACGAATATACCACCAATATACCTTGGTGGTAATAAATTGAATTGTAATGTCAATCCTGACCTTCAACACTTCCTGGAAGGTTGTAACAGAACTCATGGGCACCACACCAGAAACAAATACCTATTTGATATTCCAAGAGTTAGACTTAATCAAACTTGGAATGTTCTACAAATCAAGGGACCCAAAATGTGGAATGACCTTCCCAATTATGTCAAAGATTGTACCTCTCTAAACCAGTTTAAGATGAAAACTAAATACTACCTAATTAACTCCATGTAACCTACCTTACTTCTAAATGTCAACCCATGTCTTACTATTTAAAAAAAAATAATGCTGTTTGTTGACCAACTTGTATATTGGCTATTTTCTACCATGTTCCCCCCTTTTTTTATCTTTTATTATTTTGTTTTTCATTCTACACAATTTATACTTTAAGTTCAATTACTATTAAGTTTCAGTCTAAGTGTTTTTCCCCCCACCTCTCCTTGCCCGAAACGCTATGCGTACTAGTGGCTTTAGGTATTGTATGTACTACCTCTATCTTTAAATCTAACAGAATGTTTGTACTGTAACGCTGCAACTATGTATATATGTACTGTTCCTAACTAAATTATTATTATTATTATTATTATTATTATTATTATTATTATTATTATTATTATTATTATTATTATTATTATTATTATTATTATTATAAGAACTACCACCTCTCTGGATTGGCATACACTTATCAAATCAAATGAAATCAAATGTTTATTCAAGTAAAAGTGCATACATACAAGATGAGTTACAAGCATAATATTGGATTTCTAGATACAGCTAGTACATACAATGCCTAAAGCCACTAATACGCACAGCATTTCGGGAAAGGTGTGGGGGAAAAAACACTTAGACTAAAACTTAATACTAAATTGAAAATTCAAATTCAAATGTTTATTTAGGTAATTGTACATACATACAAGGGGTGACACAAATATTGATGAATTTATAAATAGAGCTAGTACATACAATGCCTAAAGCCACTATTACGCAAAGCGTTTCGGGTAGGAAAAACGCTAAAGACTAAAACTTAATACTAATTGAGATTAAAGTATAAAATGTGTTGAGAAAATATAAAAATAAAAAAAGGGGGGAACATGGCAGAAAAACAACAAAAATACAATTTGGTCGACAAACAGCATTGTTTAAAAAAATAACAGACATGGGTTGACATTATAGGGGAAAGGTAGGTTACAGCGAGTTAATTAGGTAGTGCTTAGTTTTTATCTTAAACTGGTTGAGAGAGGCACAGTCTTTAAATGAGAAAGCCGATGAAATTGTTAAAATGGCAACTCGTCATCTAGTGATACATAAAACAATTCAACCCAGCCTAGAGAACATAAAAAACATCATCACCAAAAAACTCTCACACCTCAACAAAGCTTATCTTTTTTTTTTGAGATATATACAAGAGTTGTATATACATCTCAGAATCTTAGATCTACCCTGTGTGGTGGCAGATCTAAGCCTTTGTACTCAAGTATTTTCAGCACCATTTATTTCTTGTTCCATCTGCCCTAAGCCACTACTCTTAGTCATTTTACCACCACAACACAGATTAAGTTTGACTCTGGGGATAACAAAGAGATATTTAAGTCTGGTGTGGTGATAATGGGTCCTATTACATCTGTCCAGGGAGAGTTTCAGAGCAGGGTTTGCATTTAAGAACAGGGTTTTGTAAATGTAGTTGACACAAGAAAATGTGTGGAGTGAGATTATGTTTAGCCTGTTAAGGGATTTAGACAAGGGGGCAGAGTCCAGTCTGAAAGTAGAGTTTGTAATTATTCTAGTAGGAGATTTTTGCTGGGTGATGATGGACTTGAGGTGGTTTGCCGTGGTTGAACCCCCATGCACAGATACCATAATTAAGATAGGGATAGATTAGTGCATAATATAAAGAGATGAGAGCAGAGTTAGGTACATAAATGGCCACTGCTTGATCGCAAGCGGGGATGTTTCTGATGGGAGAGAAAGAAACATTTGCGCAGCGCGTTGCGCGGGCAGTCTGGGCCCGTATAAATACGGGGGCACAGAGGGGCTCTGCCCTCACTCCGCCTGCCCCCGCCGCTGCCCACGCAAAGCCGAGTTTGCAGAGTTCCTAAGAATTATTAAGTAAAGTCAGACAGGATGTGCTATTTGCAGTATTCGCGGGCCCTTATTTTAGCTTCACGTCCCCTGGCCCTGCATTTTTGCCTAGTTTCATCGGTAGTTACAGTAGTTTATGCTTAGCTATTGCAGTTTAGTTTCCTCAGTGGTTACAGTATTTACGCTTGGCTCTTGCAGTTTATTCACGTTACTTATTTGGTTATATTTATGTTATGCTTCACCTCCGTTCTCTTAATGTAAAAATGGTTATATATGCACGCCGATTGTATACCCTTATTTTGTACCTGCAGATATCACGTGCCATGCCTTGCCCCTATTCAGGTGACCTGGACAGGGGGGTGGCCCCCACGTTGCCTTGGGCACGGTACACTCCAGCAGATGGCGGCGTCGAAGCGTCGTCGGGAACGTCGTATATTTAATGATATCCCGTTCTTTGCCTTCCTAAGACAATGTAAATTAAGATTTTCACACACTTTATATGGAAGGTTTCTTATTTTGTATTTGCAGACATCTCGCGACATGCCTTGCCCTTCCTCTTAATTACGTTCTACATTTCAGCACTAACATGCCTCCTGCTTTCAGATTACCACGGATTCTTTTTCCCAAACAGCCTACCTTAATTTACTCCGACAGTTGATGCTTTGCTCATGTCGCATGTTTAATTTTGCGTTGCTGTGTTCAGTATGTTTGTTCATTTTTCCTTGCCTTACGTCATTAAGTAATGTCAGCCAGGATGTGCTATTTGCAGAGTTACTAAATAAATTATTAAGTAAAGTCAGCCAGGACGTGCTATTTGCAAAGTTACTAAGTAAATTATTAAGTAGAGTCAGCCAGGATGTGCTATTTGCAGAGCTCCTAAGTAAATTATTAAGTAAAGTCAGCCAGGATGTGCTATTTGCAGAGTTCCTAAGTAAATTATTAAGTAAAGTCAGCCAGGATGTGCTATTTGCAGAGTTACTAATTACTAATTACTAGTCTTTTGCTGGGTTACTTTTATGCTTCTCCCCTTCCTGTCTAGGTATGTTTAGGTATGGCCAGCGGTGCGACTTTGCTTAAATTTTACGTTCAATTTGTTATATTAAGGTACTTTCAATTAGGATTTGTATTAATCTATTGCTTTGCCTCTGTGCCTTTAAGTTAATTTCAGCTAGGGTACGCTAGTTGCAGTGCATTCGGGTGGGCCCCCCCCCCCCCCATTTTTTCCTCCGGTTATTTCGTCCTATTACACTCGTTTCCCTCATTATATATTCTAAATATTGTGCATTATATTTGCCCACCCATTCTTCATCGTATCGACAGTACATTAAGTTACATTTGGATGCTACCGAGAAGTTTAGCATGGCCTCGCGCACGGGGTCATGCAAAAACTGGCCATTCGGCCTTCCTTTCGGCAAGCTCAAGCCAGTCAGTTAGCATGATGTCGGCCAGCATGTTGTTGGCCAGCAGCAGCCAGCATGCTGTTGGCCATACGGTCGCTAACGTTCTTTGGCCATCCGGCCTTCTGGGCTAATTTACTCTTCTTGTTCCTTCGCCATTGTTGTTTCCTACTACGTAATAGTATTCTATTTAATTTAACCTCATCTATCATTAGGTTAGGGGCCCTTACCTCCAACCGCTATTCCTTCCCCTGCGCTCTGCCCGCTTGGCGCACAACGCCGGCTTCTTCTGTTCCCTTTTTTCGCAGCCACGACTAGCCGGAACCCCCCCCCCTCCTCACCCTACTGCGGCGAGGAAGAGAATGCGAGCCGGATATTCCTCTTATCACCATTGCAACGCACGCAGCAGTGCCGGGATGCAGCCGCCCAGGGCCTACGTTAATACCATTATCTTCCCTTATTTGCTGGGCTATATGGTAGTATTAATATTATTCCGTATCGTTACTGCCATTCCAGTATTATTTTATTAAAAATATAAATTGTTATTATGGTTTGGCGTTGCTTTCTTAATTTCTTCCATTCTGCGGCACTTGCCGTCATCGGTTATTTACGATATTACATTGTATTCTTCATTGTACGTTTATTTACGACATTGTATTCTTATTATTATCCTTATTACAGTTACTGGATGACAGTTCCCTGCCGTCGATTTCACTTTCCTCCTGTTCTAAAAGATGTAGCCGAAGTTCACGGCGTACTAGCTGCGGCTTGCAGACGCTCATTGACAACACAAGACTACACTCAGCGGCCACTTAAGGCAGACTCCTTGGCTTCTATCCAGCCCTATCACCCGTCTGGAGGCAGAGATGGGATGGAGACCAAGGGTAATGTTCCCCGCTCACATTCTACATCCGCTTAGGACACAAGCATGTTTAGATTTGGCTTTAAGAATTGGTTCTTATTCCATTTTATTGTTTATGTATATATTGCTTAGTTGTATATACCCGTTCTTGGTATATGTATTGTTTATATTCCAGATTTATAGTGTTTCGTATTACCCCTGTTATAGTTGCTTTGTGCTTCCTTGCTGTTCTCCTACTGGCTTTCTCCCACCTTTGCTCTTAGCAAAGGTACTTCCCCCTTCCGTTTGCTGGAAGATTCTTAGAATTGTTAGCCCCCTTCATTGCTACAGTATAATTATTCGGAAAACTCTTTATTCATCCAGGATTGTTAATTAAGGAATCTCTTAATTCCTGCTGCCGGGCTCCCTCCCCCCGTTTTTCGTCTCCGTATTGATTTAGCTAGG